TCTTCCACTCCGAACCATTCTATGATTCTGTGATTCCATTGATTCTATCTAGCTCCTGCAATGAAAGCCAGGACTGTATTAAGTACCTAAACAACTTACACGGAGTATAGAGAAGAGCTCAGTTTTCTACTGTTTCTTTCAAAGGTGCTTCATGCACTAAAATAATCCACATATAAGTGTCCTATTACATGACAGGAGTACAAACAAATGGAGGGCCAAAACCTACTAAATGTACAAATACATTTCAAATACCTCTGTTGGGTGGAAGATGATGTTATCTATTCTGAAGTCCCCATGAATCAGGGTTTCTTCATTATCATCAGGCGGCAAGTTGTTTGCTAACCACTCGGCCAGCTTGTTCATGGCAGGAATATCTGTATGAGCAGCTGCATCATACTGTTTTTTCCAAGTTGATACCTTAAAAATGCAAACAGTCCAACAGATTTTTCAGTTGATTCACAAGTTTTTTAAAAATACAAAATTTTGAAGCATATGCTTCTGGGCTTTGGCTACCACCATGTTTCTTGAAAATTCAGCAAAACCCAGTACCTCTGCATCTGCAAATGTGAATTGAGATATCAACAGATGAAATGAAGACTACATCTACTTCAATCCTTATTTACATAGCCCAAATCTAGTGTTATTCCAAAAGAAAATGTGTTACCTTTCCCTAAGTACAGCACTACAGAATCAATCTGAATGTAGTAGTGGATTCAGATTGTGCCCAATTCATTGAACTAAGTGAAGTTATAATAGCTAAAATATGATCATTAATAATTAATAATTTAGCTTGCAAATAAAATAAACATTCAAAGACCAGACAAAACAAGAGAACATTAAGAACTATACCTGTCTTTTGCAGTACCCTGGTCCTCTACCATATCCTTGGAGACCCAGTGACTGCAAATCAAAGGAGTGCAACAGGGCCAGAGTTTCTATCATTGCAAGATACAGAGCAGAACGCTCTGCTGGGCCCACCTCAGGCAGGGAGATGTCTCGGAAAATACGACCCTAGAAATAAATCAGGTATTTGGTGGGACGTAGACATCAGATGAAAAGAAGTAAAGTTATACATTCCACAACCAAAACCAAATTTAGTGAATCAACACTGCCTATGCAATCAAAAATTCCTTCCTCATTTATTTTATTCCTCACCCAGGGCCAATGAAGGGATTCATGGTAAACCCAGGTCATTAGTATATCGTGTATATGTAGATGAAATTCTGAATTAGAGCACTCAATCCAGGTATCCTCAAGCTTGAAAGTACCAGGAAAAGCAATGTTACTGTATTGTCTCTAAAAGCTAAGTTGCAGAAAAAATACCAATGAGGACCCCAGGGGAAAGGAGGGGCAGGCAGGGTAATGGGTGGGTTATGGTACAAAGAATCAAACAATCCAAAGAAATTCACTTGTTTTTCTCCTTAAGTGTAGTTGAATACATTTAGAAAATGAGTTTGTTGTTCAATTTTCACAATTGTTAAAAACAGAGCAGTGGTGACCATCACAGAATGGACAGATCATACATTTACATACTTCAAAATGTAACAAGGTTTCTTTTTAAGATATCACTTTGTTGTAATCAAAACCAGTATAATCCTCCATCTTTGATGTAAGAAATCTGTTCAGACTTTTCACAACCCTTACATTCTATTACACTTGATTTACAGTTTTTGTAGGAAGGTTAACCCAATCTTCAGAAACTGGCCCACAAACTTACATTTCTAATTTCCCAGTCAACGTGATGACAGAATAGGATACAATGAAAAGGAAAAGGCCTGAATTCAACTCCTCCTCCCACAGGATAAAAAAAGGAAAGACACAATACAGCAGACTTACCCTCAGAATCACCAAAATCTAACAAAAAGTGTACCAATTCAGCTACAGCACCCCTAGAGTGGTGGACCACAGATTGAGATATGCTGTGTTCTTTCTGAAACTAGTGTTTGAACTGGAATCCTGCTTTGTTTTCAAGAACAGGTGATTGTATGTCAGCTCCTATCTTCAATACTAAAAAGCCTCCAGGATGTCCAAAGATGCATTTTACAGACTGATTTTTTCCCCTCTGACTTGTGTATGCTTTTCACAGAAGCAATATTGCCTCATTTCAAAGATATCCTTCCAAGAGCTCAAACAAGAACAAGAAGTTAAATACTGAGCTAAAAAATTCAACAAAGTGTGAAATAAGCCCTGGAGAAGCTGAAATCTGCCAGAATCACTGATAGCTAGCATTTCTTCAAAACATCCGAAGATTATTTACTCTCATATCACAAAACTGTGCTGAGCAAGGCTCTAACAGAAAGGTATTAGACAATTTAAAAGCAGCTTGTAGGGAGAAGGAAAGAATCTCTCACACTGGAGGACAAACCTGTACATGCTGCATTACATAAAACTCTGTTCCAATGATAGAAATGTCATTGCAATACAAAAGAGGCTCAGGCACTGGAAATCCAGCTGAAAATAAGGCTTTCTGCACACGATATTCTCTATCGACCTGAGGAAGACACAGAAATTTAGGTTCAGTTAAAACCTCCCAAACATAAATGAGCACAGTGAATCCTCTTGAATGTTTATATGTAGAACACAGAACATGGGAAATAATCCAGCAATTCCCTGCGTTTCTGGACACATTCATCAGTGTGCTGAACCATCATGTATAGACCCTGGTCACCCGCAAAACAAAGTGTTTGGAGCTCAGTGAAGAATGCTACTTACCTTGTGTGCTCCAGGTAAAAGGGGACCATGGGGCTTCTTCCTGAGCACAAAAGCCTGCCCACCCTTCTGAAGGTAAAAGGTTGGGTTTGACTGGCCTGAGCTGCAAAGAGAAAGATTATTATTACTCAAAAATTCAAGTACTTACAAATTTGTAAACTTCTAACAGAAATTATATTTGCAAAATGCATTGTGACTTGACCTGAACAAAATGGCAGGATGAAGGAAAGCATCTTCTCCAGAGTTGTTTTGTGTTGGGGTTTTTTTTCAAATCTGGACTGGAACAAACTGCCCAGAGAAGTTGTGCATGCCCCATCTCTGAAAGTGCTCAAGCCCAGGTTGGATGGGGCTCTGAACAACCTGGTCTAGAGAAAGGTGTCCCTGCCCATGGCAAGGGGGTTGGAACTAGATGATCTTTAAGGTCCCTTCCCACCCAAACCACTCTAAGATTCTACTTTATTATTAAATTACTAATTATTTTAGTACCAAGCCCCACTGTTTGCCAGCCTGATTAACACATCCAAAGATAATACTTAAGGGACAACCTATAGGAACTGTAAAATTTTAAAGAACGCATGTTGGAGTCACAAAGAAAATTAAACATTTCAGTAGTGTAAAAGAGAAAGACAACCCAGTTAAGCCCTTCATAACACCTCGTCTATCACATTCTAACAAAACTCATTGATCCTTATTTTCCTCAAGGGTCTGTGTTAATCTGCATGCTTCTCTCTCCTTATTCTTGTTCATTTTTAAGATGTATTCTGACCTAGACCAATAAACGATCAGACAACTATTGGAAAATAAAAATCAAATTAACTTCTGCCCTCATTCCTCCCATTACATTTCCATTCTCCCCAAAGCAGTTAGGGCACAGTTTGCAATAGTTGAAGAAGTTTAACTGACAAATACTCTGCCCGGAACAAAACAAATTTAGGCCAGCTGAAGGCTTGAACTGTAATTACAAGACAAAGAAGTAAAAGCATAAATACTAACAAAATTTTAGCAGACTTTACTATTAGCTACTCTCCTAAGGCTCCTCCTAAGTCTTCTAAGCTGAGGTATGTAGGAAGATTAGGGTGGATTGAACAAATTAATGTTTTATATTTACATCAGAAGACAAAGAAAAATTGTTCACTGTTTCTTAGTGATAGCTGCAGATAAATTAGTCAAGGTCATGCCTACAAAGGAATCAATCCTTATTTTTAGAAAAACTTTACTTCTAATAGTTAGCTCCTGACATGAAGTCGTGCAGCCACACCACTAATTTGCTGGACGTAAACGAACTCAGTGCTCTATGGAACAGAGGCTTTTTTGTGTAGTACCTCCCTGGCACTGCATAATGCTCCAGTAAGGAGAATCTCGGCACATCCTAATGCTGTTCTCGTGCATTTGCTTACCTGGTGACAGCCTAACGCTTTCACCTGTGTTTTTTGATTTCTTAAACCATGCGCGTGCTTCTGAGCATTACTATTTGCTGTGGAATTAAAGATGGAGCAGATCAATTGCGACTTGTGTGTAGGCAATAATCGTGGGTGTGAGGACAGCGGGAAGGCCACCCAACACACAGCCCGCACACAGACAGCCACAGACTGTGACAAAGGTCACTTTGGCCGCCACCGCGAACTTTGTCTTCTTCAGCAGCTCAAGGGGTGAGCTGGGACATGCCTTTAATTGGTCTAAATCAGAAAGAATCTTAAAAATCCATCGATGGCTGCTGCCCGCCATTCCGACAGCAAAGGGCTCTATCTCTGACCACTTTCCCTGGCAGGCGGCAGCGAGCGGCTCCTCTGCTCGTCCCTCCCGGGCGCTCCGGGGCAGGGGAGCGGCGGCGGCCTCGCCACCGGTGTCAGTGCGCTGTCACCAGCGTCAGCGCCCTGTCACCAGCGTCACCTGTGTTACCTGTACTGCCTGACAGCCAGCGCGCCCGGGGGCTGCCGAGGGAAGCCGGGCAAGCGGCTGCTCAGGTAGCGCTCCAGGCTGCCCTGGTCGAAGCGGTGCTGCCGCCGCACCTCGCTAGTGCCCGGCTCCTCCGCCATCCTCGGAGGCCGCGCCGGAGCCCGCCCGGCCGGGTCACCCGGAGGCGCCTCGGTCGGCCAAGGAAAGCGCTTCGCAGCCCCCTGGCTGTCGGGCCCGATGCCCTCTCCCGGAACACGACGTTTCCCGGGAGGCAGGAACAGCCCCGGCGGACACCGCCCCTCAGTCCCTCCCGCTGCCGGCCGTGAGGAGGCGGCCTCGGGAAGGGGTGGCCCCGGGAAGGGGCGGCCCCGCCCCGGCGCTTCCCGGAAGCTCCCGGGGCCGGGCACAGACGTGTCGCTGCCATGGCGGATCCCGGTCGGCTGGAGCGGCTGGAGCGGCGTGTGCGGGAGCTGGAGGAGGAGCTGGCCCGGGAGAAGCGCGGGCGGGCAGCGGCGCGGGCCCGCATCGACACCATGAGCGCCGAGGTGACCGACTCCAACCCCTACAGGTGCGCCGGGGGGCTGTGAGGGCTCCGCCAGGGCGCGGAGGATGGGGAAGGGGAGGCCGTGGGATGGAACGGTGGGTCCGGGTGGAGCGGGAGAGGCGCATGGAGGTGGAGGAGGCTCGGACGGGTGGGAGTCTCAGGGATGGGGCTGGCTGTGCTCAGGAGGGTGCCGGGCAGCGCAGGAGGCAGGTGCTCCGGGAGGGATGCTCTCGGGTTTCCCACCTGGCAGGGCTGGATGTCAGGGTTACTTTGTATTATCTTGCTTTACGATACAGGCGGGGAGGGAGAGGGAGAAGAACCCTTGTGAGTTTTTCAGCTAGGTTGCTAGTAAGTGGGGCAGGTGTTGGTATTATATGAGGTCTTATACTCATTCCTCCAAATTGCCTATTATAGAAGTTGGTTTATAGACTTCTTGAGCTTTAGAGAACTCTTCCCTTCTAGAAATCTGATGATTTTTTGATTTTTGTTTTGTTGGTTTGGGTTTGGCTTTATTTTTCCTTAATACGCGTTGATACTCATACTTTCATGAAAAGTGCCATAAAGGGATAAAATGTTACTTTAAAATCCTTTCAGTTATCCTCAAAACCTGATAGTCTCTATTTATTTTTTAATGTTATACTAATCTAATCAAATCAATCAGAAAACAATGCAAGTCTTCAGTAGTTTGCTGCCATATGGTTCATTAAAAAAAAAAGTGTCACCTTTCATTCTGTAAATCAGGGATTCATTTACAAAAATATCTGTGTCCTCCTGATTTCATCAATATTACCAGAGGAATAGGTGCAAGAGTTTCTGCAGGGTTAGGACTCTGGTGCAAACAGGAAAGCATCTACTCTGTCACTCAGGCTGTACCTAGCTGGCAGTCACAACGGCAGTGGGATCAGCAGGCTTGCATTTATTGCTTGGTGAGGTTATTTCTAAAGCAAAAGTGATTTTAAATACCTGAAAAGCAAAATTGTTGTTAGAACCATGAAGAACATTTTCTGTGTAACATTGTATTTCTTTTTTCTTTGTAGTCGCTTGATGGCATTAAAAAGAATGGGAATTGTCAAAGACTATGAGGTAGGATTCTGTCTGTAATGAAACATTGCTTGCATTTTTTCCCTGGGAGGACCACTTTTGAGATACTGATCTGTACATTATTTCTTCCTACAGAAAATCCGTACCTTCACAGTTGCAGTAGTAGGTGTAGGGGGTGTTGGCAGCGTGACTGCTGAAATGCTGACAAGGTGTGGCATTGGTAAGGTAATGAGAGTTTTTTTATTCTTCTTTATCGTTACAGTAGATTGACCAGTCCTCTTCATAAAGAATTTGATTTGATTTTACCCAAATAAAAAATGTTGTGAAGAAAGCACTCAAGAACAGCGCTTGTGTAAACATTACACATGAAGAGTCTGATTTTTATTATGCTGGTAAAATTGATTTATTTAGGGCTTGATCTTGTATCATGTGGATGATTCTTGTTTGGATGTTTGTCATCTCCATATTCTTATATGAGCCCATCTCTCTAATCTTCATGCTGCAGAAGGATTACTGCCAAAGGAAAACAAAATAAAGAAGAAGGAGGGGGTATTTCACATAAAAGATAAATTCTTATAAGAACCAAGTTGATATCATGCAGTTGAAATGTAGTAGATGACAAACAGAAGTCTTTATCACAAACATTACTTTGTCATGTGGCAGGAAGTAATATAGGTGATAGTAGAGGTGCTACTGTTCATATAGGTTAATCTGTTGAATATGCTTAGTTTTAATGACTTAACAGATTGGTACAGTTTTGGCATCCTTATGATGTTTGTGCCTCGTCTATGTGAACTGAATGGGCCTCTGAGGGAGGGAGTTTGGTTGGGGGAGTTTTCTGTGGCTTTGGTTTTAGAATTAGTTTTGTTGTCCAAAATTGCCGCAGTGCTCTGTTTGCAGAGTCTATTCACACATGTTAAAATAATCTTTGTTGTAGCTGCTTCTGTTTGATTATGACAAAGTGGAGCTGGCAAACATGAACAGACTCTTCTTCCAACCTCATCAAGCTGGATTAAGTAAAGTGCAAGCAGCAGAACATACTTTGAGGTACAACTTGGAGAAGTGGGTATCAAAATGTATTTAGCCAGGATGCCGCTCTAGAAAACCAATGTTTCACTCTTAATCATTTGCAAAGGAACATGATCTAATTGGGGGATTTGAGCACAAAATATTTGTGGGGATGATTGATATTTCAAAGACATTTTTGTGCTGGCCAAAACCTTCATGTCAGTCTACTTTTTAAGTATAGCCAGTTTTGCTCAGAAGTTTGGTATAAACTATGCCACTTCCATATGTTGTGGGGTTTTTTCTTATCTAATCTGAATTTTTGACAAATATGGGTGAATTCTAGGGTTCAGAATGGAAACTTAAGACTATAGCAATACTTGTGAAGTTAAGGAGAATAATGCAAATTATCATTGTATTCTTTACTACTGACTCCTATTATTTCCTCCATAAGGGATATTAATCCTGATGTTCAGTTTGAAGTACATAACTACAACATCACAACACTGGACAACTTTGAGCACTTCATGGATAGAATAAGGTAAAATCCACCAACTTTAGCATATTGCTAACTTCTGCTGATGTGTGGTTCTACACAGCCTCACGTTTTTCTTGTTGGGGCTCTTTTTCAATTTAATAACTTCCAATTGAAAACCTCTGGGAAATATATGTATATGAAGACATTCCTAGATATGTTACAGAAAACAGATCAGATCATATCTTGAATGCTCTCTAGTAGTTTCAGGTATGATTTATAGAATGAAGAAGAAAGTAGTTATTAGTGGATCTCACAGAGATCTGAAATAACTTACACTATTTGCAGTTCTGTTGTACAAAGGTACAATTCTCCAATACTTTGTACTGTGAGTGCATACTATATAAAATAGTCTAAAATGCCCATATATTTAAATCCCAGCCTCAGCATGGTGTTGTTTCTACTGCAAATCTAAGATGCTGGTTGTGTCCTGTATTGCATTTGCACAAGCTCTGTTAGAAATTCACTTTTCTTGGGCTTCTGTACTCTAGAGCAGCATGTTGGTTGCCTGTTGGTGTTTTGTTCTGCCAGCAGTTTCATGTAAATTTCTGATGCTTGTTTCAGTAACGGTGCACTGGAGGAAGGGAAGCCTGTGGATCTGGTTCTAAGCTGCGTGGACAACTTTGAAGCTCGCATGGCAATTAATACGGTAAGGCCACCAAAGGTTCCAGCTTGTGGAAGTCTGTTTTCTCCTATAAATAATGTTAGGAATTGTGCAGCTATAGAAAAGACAGGAACTTAAAGACAATCTCCTAAGAAATAGCCCCCTTGGCTTGAGGAATCTGAGCTTTTACCCAGTTCTTATAAACCCATTTTATGTATATAAATATCACTAAAGACTTCGAAGTTACTATCAGCTAATGGTTAGTAAAAGACTGAATATCATAAACTCTGTCTTTTCTAATTACTCTGTTTATGTAATGGTATTTTCAAAGGCTGGTATGTTAAACCTTACAAATCTTTAAAGATTTTCTATAGCTAATTGTATACTTCACATGACTTTTTGTATACTAAAAATGCTGTTTATTTAATCAAACTGGTTTTCTTTATAGTAGCAGCCAACGTAGAGTATATGCCAAATGTATGTTTTCTGTTACCCTTCAGCTGACTTGATCCATAAATTGCAGGTACACAGATAGACTGTACCCAAGTCTCTAAAAATAGTTTGTGGAATTATGTTCTCTAGTGTGCTGTAACTGGGTCACTAATGTCTGTATTGTTAGAACATTTCAGGTCCTCAGGAAAGCACAAAGGGCTGGCTTCATGAGGACAACTTTAATTTGCTGTTTGATTTGTCCTTTGATAAATAATTTTTCTTCTATCTCTTCATGTACCTTTTTCTGACCATAGCCTTTTTGCCTGAAAGCAGGGAGATGAATGTGTTTCATCACTCCCTATTGTTTGGGTTGCTGTTCTTTTCATTGAACTTCTGCAGTGCTGACGTGTGTGTTTCTGTGTTTGTAAGGCCTGCAATGAACTTGGACAAATCTGGATGGAGTCTGGAGTGAGTGAAAATGCAGTGTCAGGACACATCCAGCTGATCATCCCTGGTGAATCCGCTTGTTTTGCGGTACGTGGTGCTCTGCTGAATTGCTCACTTGCCTTTTAGAGTGGGACTGGGAATGTGAAGATTAGCTGGCCTTGTGCGTGTGATCCTGGCACAGCTGATGCAGTACCTTTAAATTCTGTGTGATCTGTGGAATTTCTTGAATGCTTTTTTACAGCTTATTTTCTCTTTTGCCCCTCAGTGTGCTCCTCCACTGGTAGTAGCTGCAAATATTGATGAGAAGACGTTGAAACGAGAAGGAGTTTGTGCAGCCAGTCTTCCTACAACCATGGGTGTTGTGGCAGGAATGCTTGTACAAAATGTTCTCAAGTAAGTGACTGAGCTGTTGCTATTTGATGTGTGCAGCAAAATATTTAAATAATTAAACGTGCTCTAATTTGGCATCATTAAGTTATGCATTAAAAATGCTACAGTGCTGACTTGTGTACATGGACAAAGAATAAATTACTTCTCTTGCCTGTAGCTGAGTTATTCTCACACACCACAAGAAGATGGGATTCTGTATTGCTCCACTTATTCTGTTGCCAGCTGACTACAGCATTACTGGATTTAAGGCAATTACAGTAACTCACATTACAATTCAATGAGTCTGAAAGTGTATTCTAAAAGTTCTTTGAAGAAAAATTATTCCCTACATGACTGAAGTTTTAGGTTTACACCTGTATTACAAGCTCCCTTCTTTCTCTGTGTTTCTAGATACCTGTTAAATTTTGGTACTGTGAGTTATTATCTTGGTTACAATGCGATGCAGGATTTCTTCCCAACTATGTCTATGAAGCCAAACCCCCAATGTAGTGACCACAATTGCAGAAAACAGCAAGAAAATTATAAGGTAAAAGCAGTTTGGGTCTGTGGGTTGATTTTCTAATTTCCCTTTTCTTAGAGAACAAAGCAAGTTGCAAATCTGTAGTAAAAAAAATGTTCGTTGCTACTCCAGTTTGCAGCAGTTGCTGCATCTTTAGATGGTTGCACATATTTCTAAATATACAGTACTTACAGTTACCTTAAAGTAAAGGGTAGGAAGAAAAGTTGAACAATTATGTAGAAGAAAATAGTACTTAACTGATTGCTAACTTTTCTAACAGTTATATTTTTCTGAGTGTTAATGGGTTTGGTGTTTTTTTGAACTTGCAGGTATTCTGCCCTTTTGCTCCTAAGCAGTCACCATTTAGAACCTTTTTATGTTACATATTGGAAGAAATGTGATTATTAGGCTTGAATTTCTTTGCTGTTTTTGGAAATTGGACTGTTAAATTTTGGTTATTGAGGGTTTTTGGTTATTGAGGTTATTTTCTGTGTTTTCCCTCCAGAAAAAAGAAGCTGCAAGACCAAAGGAAGAAGTAATTGAAAAGGAAGAAGAAATAGTACATGAAGACAATGACTGGGGTAAGTCATCACCTGGAGACTAAATTATTTTCCCAATAATGAGATTCATTTTGGGTGACCACAGTTGAGGGTACATAGAATTTTTCTAGTTCTTATTTTTTATAACTTGCACTGTGTAATTACTTTTGGCTTTTCCCAGGTTTTGAAAGTAATTTTACCACAACTTGATGATATGTTTTTAGTGCAATGTGCAGGTTTTAGGCTCAAAATGTAACTGCTGCACAGTTCTCAGAAGATGATTTGAAGACGAGAGAGATATGAGAAGATGTATTAACTGCATATTCCTTTTAAATACACTAAAGAGCTGTTGTCAATTCCATAACCACTGTGCTGAGGCATCCCATGGATTTTTACATTCCTCTGAGGGTTTTAAATTAGAAGGAATTATCTTAAGGAATGGTGAATGTCTTTTATATAACCATTTAAAGACTGGAGATATATGTTCTGTTTATTACATGCCATAGAAAATAATCTTATCTTACAACTGGGAGAAGTGTCCTGATGGTAAAGTTTAAATGGTAAGGACAAGGAAGAGATGCCATTCTGGTTCAGAAGTTGCTTATATGGAACTATTTATTATATTGTAAAGGGAAAATATTTTCTATTTGTAATGCAATGAAGTTGTTGAAATCAAAGGTGTTTCTAGTTTAATTTAATTCTGTTTTTGGAATGTAGCTGCATCTTTCCTCTTAGTGTGATAACTTGGTGAATAAAGAACTTTTTCTTCTAACTTCTAATGGAGTTTTTGTTTCCTTTTAATGCAAAGGCATAGAATTAGTATCAGAAATTTCAGAAGATGAGCTGAAGGCTGCATCTGGCCCAGTACCTGAGCTTCCTGAGGGAATTAGTGTAGCATATACTATCCCAGACAAGGTAATGAACTTATTCTTCATGATTTTTTGAAATACACATTGTAGATTAAATTTATAATACCAGCCAGTTTGATTACCCTTTAAACCTAAAAGAGAATTCCATCTTGAAATGTGACCTCAGTTCATTTGATTATTCCTTTTTATGGTCCAGTTTGTGTTCCTGGGAAAGGTACTTCTTTAAGTGTGGATGCTAGTGTGAATGTACTGCTGAGATGATAGGAATTAATGCATTTGGGGGCTGGGGGAAGGACAGCAAATGTCAATTTCTCAGTTGATATTTTGGTGACTAATTAATTTTTCCCATACATGTCTTGTATGGGAAATTTTTCCCATACATGTATGTAGTCAGAGAGCAATGAGTATATCTGGGGAACATAGAATCCGAATGTACTGCAGTAAGAACATTCCAACTCCTAGTCAAAATAGTTTGCAATTGAAGCTTATAATCACTTAGGCCTAATCTCACAATTGAGTGCCTGATTATAGGAAAATGGTGTGGTGTAACAGCAATAAAGCTGATCTCTGGGGGTTTTTTTGTTTGATTTTTTTGTTGACAACTTTTTCTTGCTGTTCCTAACAGGAAGAGAATTTAATAACTGGGGAGGCAGTAGCAGAGTCTGAAGAAAGCCTAGAAGAACTCATGGCCAAAATGAGAAACATGTAGAAAAACAAATATTAAGTGCAACTTTCATGAGTTTGGATGGACATTGGATTTTGAGAAGACCAGACTCCTTACTACTTTTTTTACCTCCATTGAAGCTTATCTTTACTTTTCTGATGAAACAGAACTGTTACAGGGGCAGGAAGGATGCAGACTTACATCGTTTATATTCTGTTTTCTCATAATGTCTTTATATAGACAGCTATAGAGCTGTGCTACTGTAAATTTTAGTTTCTCAGCATTGCTAGTGTCCAGATATTCAGTGGTAAATAAAAGGATCTGGATAACCTAAAAAAGCAGGCACAGCACATTATATACGCTATCATGTGATGAGAACAGCACGTAGAACAGGCCAAGGGAAAGATGAAATCTGCTGGAGTGGGCTGAGTGGGTGAAGGGCAGATGATAATGCCTCTCTCATGATGCTGCTCCTGAGTTTCCAGGCACTTTTACTTGGTTGTCATTCACTGGTCTAAAGTCTTGGCATGGATCATGCTGTGGCTACTTTTTTTGAGTAATGAGAACATATGAGCCTTTTCATCTGCCTTAAATATCCCTGGGATGGAATTTTCTTTATCAGTGTCTTACTGCTGCTTGTCCTTAAACAGCTGCCTATGTTTTGTATGTGATGTTTTCAGTATACTGTAAGAAGGTGAAGTCTTTTGTTATTATCACATTAGCAGCATGCCACTATTTTGTCTAGCAGATGCTTTTCATGACAAAATTATGAGCAACATTGGAAAGAACTGGAGATTCTGTCTACCTTTTCAGAAGTCTAAATATTATATTTTTGTTGGTTACTGAAAGTTTAGCTATAATTCTGATCACTCCCCATCACGTGGGCTATATTAAGAAATATGTCTGAGTTTGCATAGAGAGTATCTTAAAATTAGATTCTATAAATTTTTAGTTTTGCAAATATCTTCATTGGAGTAGCTCACCTGTTGTATTTGTCTTGTAAATGACATAAGTACAGTCGTACAACCTTTTAAATGGCCACGTGTTAAACTGACCTGTAAATATTTGCATCCTGGGGCACCAGTACCCTGTAGAACTGGAAGGATCAGTTTCAAATACTTTAACTACTGTGGACATCTGATCCAGAACTTGGTAATTATTTCAGCCTCAGCAGTATAATACAAGTATTTCCAATATTGGGCTCTTCAAAAAACTTTTCCACAATGTGATGCAGCCAGCACAGAGCCAGCTAGTATTGGTAGTAGTATCCCACTAAAATGAAAAGAGATAGCAATACCATGGTGGTGCTTCTGTTTCTTAGGGCAGCTGAATGAATACCTGTTAGTTATACTAATAATTAGTTTAAAAAATGTTTCATTTCTTATTAATGGTTACAAAATTCAAAATCAGTTTCCTCCACAGCTGACATCAAATTATATTTTATGCAGAAAAGTCATTTCTGAAACGAGTGAGGGAGATTTTGGGTGGGTTTTGAGTGTGGGGCATTATACTGTAAAATTGAAGTGGCTTTTTTGAATTGAGTTCTGTTTTGGAGAAACCAGGTTTTAGAAATGAACTGCAAAGAAAGATAGGAAATAGAACAATGAGACCATTAAAAAGGTAGATACTTGAATCTGTGTCAATAAGTCCACGTTAGCTTGATCCAGTGTCAATTTATGTGTTACTTACATTTCTGTGTGACTTTCACCTTTCTGTTGGGAACAATAGAAGTCAGGCACACAGCTGTGTGGATCTGGAGATCCTGAGGCAAATGGCTGATTCATTTCCATACCAGCTCAGTTCCTCCTGACTCTTTACTATTTGGCTGACATGGCTGCTATCACAGGATTGACAGCTTTATGAGAGGCAACTTCAAGTACACTTTCATGAGGGAATTAATACATTTTTGTATGCCCTGTTGGAGAGTACACAAAATGGTTCCTGTGTTACTTTTAGACTTTCAACTTGTATATACAAGAAAAATTTGAAATAATCAGAAAATGAATAATTGTGTGAAGATAATTGTATGTGTCAATGGTTAAAATTATTTAAAAATAAACAGCATCCAAAAAAGCAGCACTAAGGATTTTTTTTTAAATTAAAAAGATATTTACAAGTATAATGTACTCTAATTGTAAAACACAGAATATTTATTGCTTCCTTGGTTATGAACTAACAAATCAAAGTACATTGCCGTGATTAAGTCCAGCTTTGTTTATTTGGCAATCTTATAAAAGTTTATTTGGCAAAAACATAAAAGTATAAAAGTTTATTTGGCAATCTTATAAAAATGTTCTGTTTTTACAGTGTCTCATGAATGTTATTAAGATGTTGATATTCTGACAGTACAATTAAATCTCCATTGAAACTGGTGACCCTCTGCTTGAGGTGGACTTCTACACAGAACTATTATCTGGCATATCCCATATATAGCAATGACTTTTCCTGCTGTCCATGAGGTACAGCTCCATGGAAGCTGTCTCGTGAGCTTTCTTTGGGTTCACAGGGTAGGCACATGGATTCCTCACCCTCTTTGCTGAAGGACAATGGATGGTTGGGATCTGCTGCTTTCGAGGGACTAATTTTTTATTTTAATTTTTTTCTTATTCCAAAACCAACCCTAAAACCTATGAGGAAGTTGGTGAGAACTTGCTCAAGAGTAGAAGAGTAACAGTTCAGCAACAGTAACACTGAGGGTCTAGAAAGTAACTTCTTATTTAAACTAGCTACAATAAGTGCAACTGTTTAGGAGAGGAAGATGTACCGCTGTACCGCGGTGTTAAAATCAGAATAGACAGGACAAGCTAGACCAGACGTCTGATAATTCTTTATAGGAGAGAATTACCAGGTCTAAGAACATCAGGCAACATAAACACACACAAGCTGAGTAGGTTGAGGTTTTGGAGGGGAGGGGGGTTGGGTATTTTTGTTTGGGATTTTTTGCATGTGTATTTGTCTGTCTTTCCTTTTGCCCCTCTTCTCAGTTGATGACAATCCTGCAAAGAACTTTCTAGTTTTCAAAACTTTTTAAGGTGGCTGAAATAGAGTGGTAAACCCTTGCTTTGTTTACAAACCCATTTTCTGAATAAGAGGAAAATATCCAGAGAGCTGTTCCGAAGTGTCAACTCTTAGTGCTCTATCGTAACACCTTCAATAACTATTTTTGATTTTTGTTTTCAACTAAGCCTTAATCTTAAAAATCAAATCTGGGTTTTATATTTGTGCTGTCAGTTTATATACCTTTACTTTTGCCAAGTTACTGCATTACCAAAATACTAAATTCCTCCTAATCAGAACAAGGGCTGAAATTAGTAATATTTAACTGTAACATAAAAGAGAAAAAACACTTGGAAGGCAAGTACTCCTTGGAAGTGAAGGCCATTTGCATTTTTGAAACTGGATCAAATTAACATTAGTTGCCTCTGAAATATTATAGAAGGGTTTCAAATAATTTCCCACTTACATTTCTTATTTTATAAAAAAGTATTTTTTTAGTATGTATTTAAATTGATGCATACATTTATGGACTGAATGAGAATAGAACTCAGACTGATTCTTCCAATGACTCAGGTATTAAGAAATACAACAGGTAGGTAGATTTGATTAATATTTCTTTATCTGATGGCAATCTACTTTGCATCACTAGGTTTTCCCAGCTAATACAAACATTCTTGTGTTTTAAGGGATTCAGTAAGACTAAACAGTAGGTGTACTGCTAAAGGTTTAAGAACAGGAAATCTGGCCATAATCATCTTCACTCTGATTCCTCACTGGAAGTATTTTTATTGAACAGAGTGGAATCCTTCAACAGCTTTAACTGTAGATGACCATGATATATTTAGATACCCTAGTTTCCCAAGGAAACCACTTAATTTTGCACAACTCCCTTGAATGAAAGTTTGCTTAAGCTGAAATATCCTTGCAGGTAAAGCTTGAGGTTAAACAGTATTTTCAAAGTTTTTTTCAAAATTACTATTTCTTCAGAAACAACTTTAAAGGCTTGTAAAAAAGCAGGAACGATCGATGATACAAAAATACACAAATCTCTAAGCCATGCTGTTACAACACAGAAGTAAGAAATGCGTCTTAGAGTTAGTTTGTACAAGTGGTTCAGTTTAATTTGTTATAGTCCTGGCACTTAGGCTAGGAGGCATCAAGTCCATGGTTTTGGTATTAGCTACAACTTGACTAGTGACTAACATGTGTACCTATGAACAATGAAAGAAGCTCACTTTGTACCATACAGTCTGCAAAGTTAAGGCAGAATTCATGAAGACAGGTGTCAGTCCCAAAACAGTACATAATCCTTGGAAAAATGGATTTGTCTTAGTAATTTTCTGTCTACTTGAATATAGAGACTGCCTTTTCTTGGAGCAGGTTTGTATCACCTTTGTCCATGTTCCAGCAAAGCGTTTGGTGATAATGCACTTTTTAAGCTGAATGTGTCTCCACTTGATGAGTGTCGAGAAGTTGCTTTTCCACCTATCAACAAAGTCTCTGCTTCTTTTATTTCCATAGCTCTCTTGTAAAGTTCAGCTGCCTTCTCAAAGTCTCCCCTTTCATAGCTTTGGAAAAGAGCAAAACAAACTTGAAACAAGCAAATAAAACAAGTCTCTCAATTCATTTAAATTGAAATATACACCATACTATCAACATAGTTTACTTAAAACTCTTTAGTTTACTATAAAGTACACAAGCTCAGATGGTTTTTTTCATGCAGTAGTTTGCATTTATAGGGTTGAAACATGTAATCTTACCTTAGCACAGCCAAGTTTTTCAATGTTTCCCCCACGCGAGGATGCATTTGGCCAAAGCTGTCTTCATAAATCTTTAGTGCGCGTTCATAGAGGGGCAAAGCTTCAATCTGTTTTTTCTTTGGGTAGCAGAAAGTTTCTTTGTTACAGATGTGTATTTCTTTGATACAGCTGTGTAATACATAGGCTTTTTCTTGCCAACATAATATCAATGCATCCTGGATGCAGCATCATGCCTTCCATTCGCAGCAATTATCTTTTCCCTGCATGCATTTTTCTCACCAAATATGCTTTCAATGTTTAAAATGGAACCCAAGAATTTGCAAATACTATAAGGAATTTCCCTTTTCAATACAAACAAGTTTCTTTCATTTCATTTAGGTACAAGTCATAAAAAAGCCTAAGACAGGAAAAATAAATGTTAGGCATGAAAAACTCACCATCTGACAGTAAAGGACAGCCAGGTTTACCAGAGCAGTTGCTACACTCGGGTGTTTTGGGCCAAATGACTTCTGTCGAATTTCAACTGCTAGCTCATACAGAGGAACAGCCTTGTCAAGCTTTCCCTAGAAATGACATGGAAAAAAATGATTCATTTCTCTGGTCTCAAGATGGTAAGAGCAAAACCTATTTTAAACAAAAGCCTTGGGAAAGACCTAATTGTTTCTAGAATAAGGGGATAACTTTGCTAAATAATGCATAGATTATTTATCATGACTATTTATTAGAATCTAATTTTCCAAAATACTGGGCATTCAACTCCCAGTTAATATGTTTCTCAGCTAGGTCTATTTCTTCCTTTCTTAATTTATTTTTTGCCCACAAGTGTCTCATTGAGAAGGCTGTAAGAAGAATTTTCAGTTATACTTTTATTGAAATAATTGTCTCCACTGACTTTTAATTTGTGCTCCTTCAAACTAGCAAAGAGGTTTTTGATGCAAATATTGAGTGGTTTTGCAGCTTCCAGCAGCATGAAAATTAGAAGCTGAAGTGAGCAGAAAATAACGTGACCCAAAACCATTTAATGCAGACAATAGCAGGTAAGAATTATTTAGTAAAAACATGAGCAAATTTGATTTAAGAGATTATCAAGGTCTTTTTTCTCTTTGAAGAACAGTAAAATGTGAAAATATAAATTAAATAAAATTCTTATAACCCATGGAACTTGATCTTGGTTCAACTGTTGGAAAGAATATATCACTATTAAACTAATAATACCTAATGATTACAACAACCATATACAAACACAAATATTCATAACACATTTTGAAATTAGGAAATGCAGAAGTTTATACTCCTGTTAATTTTACAACACAGAGTGCTTTTTTCACAGGAGTGAAAATGCTCATCTTTCACTGAGTCAACAGAAGTTGAAGGTGGCTCAGCCAGATAGTTGATATGTGAACTGCTATCTCCCTCATAATTCTAAAAGTTGCCCTTAAACTGACTATAAAGTTCAAGGTCATTGTGTATGAAGAACTATTTCTACCCAACTAAACATGTTTTTTTTTTTCCATTAAGACAAAGATATTACAGTTTGTTACTGTTGTATTTTCTAAAAAAATCCCTTCGCCAGGATTTCTCTCCTGGGAATCTGAGAAGCTTCAGAGAAAAAGGAAAACAATATTATCTCATTTGCTTCTTCTGTGTTTTGCTCCTTTGGAATGTAGTTTAGAGATTGTTTATCCAACAGATGATTGCTTCATTAGTTACATGTGAATTGTTTTTACTTATTAGCCAATTACGGGTCAGTTGTGTCAGACTCTGAGAAGCCAGTCAAGAGTTTTTCATTATTATCTTTAGCCTTCTGTCTGTATCCTTTCTCTAATCTTTAGTATAGTTTAGTATAGTTAAAGTATTATATAATATAATTAATATAACATAACATAATATAGTATAACATTGTATTATATTATATATCATATAATGTAATATCATATCATACTACAATATATAAAATCATATCATATCACATCATATCATAATAAATTAGCCTTCTAAGAACATGGAGTCAGATTCTCATTTCCTTCCTTTGACAGAGGCTCCAGAACCTACCACAACAGTTAATTTAGGTGATCAGAAGAGATAACAGGTGCGTGCTCACCATCTTTTTGTACAGCACTGCCAGGTGTTTCACAGTGTAAGCCAAGGAGGGATGATCTGGAGCTAAGGCTCTCCTCCTGATGTCCAAAGCTTTCTCATAGAGCTCCTCAGCCTTGTCATAGTGCTTCTTCTCATTGTACAGGGCTGCCAGGTTGTTCAGAGACTGTGCGCAGTCTGGGTGATCAGATCCCAGGACTCGCTCCCGCATTTCCAATGAGCGCTTCAGGAAAAGCTCTGCCGTCCTACACAACATATTTGCTCATCAATATTTCAAAGCTGGTAACATCTGTACAGGCTGAAATGCCTGTTTGAAACAACAAGCTCAGCCTTGGAAACTCATAGTAGAATCTGTTCAGAACTGATAAAGTAATTTCTGAAATACTCTGTAATGTCACCACTGAAGCAAAGAGCACATTTTTTCTCACTACAGTAGGGTGCTACTATTTCATTTCAGCTTTACAGCAGCTCCTCTATCAAAACTACAGGTGATCCCCCCATAACACTGATAGCATCCATTATTACTAGGCAGCTTCTCATCATGACATCCACACTGCAAAGGAGAGGCACAAAACAGTAAAGCTGAGCAGAGAAGGCAGAAGTTTGAGAGAGAACTGGAATTTGCAACAAAGGCTAATTAACTGTGGAACATCAATTCTGAATGCAGGAAGTGCACTGACTTGGTAAATACCCACATGCCAATAGCACCAAATAGAAAATAGGAGTGAATTTCACAGTGAACAAAAACCAGTAGAATGAATAAGGGACAAGTATTTGATCACGTGTCTGCATTTAGAGCTAGATCTCCCTGCTCTGCCTCCATTCAGACATCTGACAACACTCAGTGATGTGTCACAATCAGTACAACTCACTCAAGATTATTCTGCAGGTAGTAGAGGACTCCAAGCTCATTTAGAGTTCGAGCATTATCTGATGTATCCTTGCCTAACGTGAGCTCTTCCAGTTGCAGGGCTCTTTGACGCAGGAGAGCAAAGCCACACTACAGCAAAAAGAAGGAAATGTAAGCCAGTCACCAGTACTTTTAAAGTTTAACACTAAAGACAGAAAACCAAAAGACTTAGTTTGGTGCCTAAGTAGTACAATAGTCCTCCTTAAGTTCTATTTTTGAGCTACATGGCAAACACTTACCATCTATCAGCAAAATAAACCAAAAAAATGTGAAATCTTGGTGAAAATTTCCAGGCAATACAAGTTACTGTGTGGTCACACCTCTCTCCCTGTATTAGACATACTAATTTGCTTAAACTCCACAGTTCAAATAACCGGTTCAGATCGAATTCTTGGGTTTAGAACCTCAAAACTTAAAATGAATTTAACTTCCAATCCTAAACACCACATAGAAATACATATAAAATATTACTCAAGGCTTCACATCAATCTGTTTAAAATGGGCAAACAAGTTAAAGCTTACAAACAAAATAAATCAAAGTAAAAAGTGCAGCTATTTTTACACACTCTTCTTATTTTTGACCTTTGCAGTCTTGATAAAAATATTTTTGCAGAACTCATTACAGAAATAGACCAAATCTTTATGAACCAAATCCATTCTTATTTAATCACTGTGGAAATGGCAACATGTTTATGGGTTTTTACTACTTTCATCAGAGCTACAACTTAAGCTCTGGAGTTATTAGCGGGACTCTTACAGTACAGGCATTACATGATACTCTTAGCTGAAAAATGACAAGAGAAACCCTGTAGCTGAAAAACAACACAGGAGAAGAAAACGGGAAAACTCTGGATGTCACCTAATACTTTTACTGGGATTTTCCATTGCAGTAAGCACTGCATTCACTAGTAGGATAAATGCCTCAACTATTCTGGAGATCTTTTTCCATTGTGACTTTGACACACAATCATATTGGCTGTAATTCTGCACCTCTGAAATGTATATATCCACTTCTTTCTTTTCCACTTTCAACTCCATTCCAGTTGTACTGATACATCTCCACTTCCAGCAGAGTTGAAAGGACAGGTACCAAAGCTGCTGCTAAGGTACTTCACTACCTATGCCCACAATTATCAAAAGCCCTGGAGCATTATCAGCTCTGTAGACACAATTTATCATCTGTTTAGCACAACTGCAACACGCCCTGTACCTCTTCTTAAATATCAAGCACTGCCTTACCAGACTGCCTTTCTGCCTTGCTGCTTTTTGGCGTATTTTGAAGGACTTTTTCCTCAGTTGCTCAGCTTGTTCGTATCTGAAATAGTTATTTGGAGTGTGAGAAGAATGTCAAATGTGGTATCAATAAGCGTCCTGGAAAGATTCTAAGTTATTTAAGGGTACAGATTTGAAAATTTAAGATTCTTGAGAATAATCACACTTTTTTTCAAATATAAAATTTATAAAATTATTAGGGACAGACAATGTTTCTCCTTTATCTCTGCAAGTTTTTTGTTAAACTAAGCACAAAAGTTGGCCCCTCCTATGTGACCTTCTACAAGAATAGAGAGGGGATGTTCATGGTTGCATTTGAAGGTATGAAACTCAAAAAAAAAGAAGAAAAATTCTGGCTTCAGGACAAACATTTTGCTGTTATTTTTTTTTTTTTTTGTACTACCTCCACATAAAACAAAACCAGCAGTGTAATTAAGCTTACTTGTTCTGCTTTTGGTACAAGGTTGCAAGTGCATCAAGTTCACGGGCCACCCGAGGATGTTCAGCTCCATAGGCGTTTTCAGAGATTTCCAATGCCTGCTTATACAGCTGTTCAGCATTTCCAAACTTCTTCCACTGAACATACACTCCTGCCAGCTGGTGGAGTGACTGTGCCACCCTGGGGTGGTCTGGATCCAGCGCAGTCTCTCGAATCTCCAGAGAGCGCTGCAGAGGAGCTACAGCCTGTAAAAGCCACATCCAAGGAGTGAGGGCAGCAGGCAGCACCCTCTACACTGCAATAACTTGTCTACTGCCACAGAAAGGACACACTGAGCTCTGCTTCATTTGCCTTTTTGCTGTCACAACAATCTCTAAATGTACTTACCTGACTGAGAAGACCTAGGTCCTTAAGAAACCGTCCCAGGGTCTCATAAAGATCAGCCAGGCAGATCATACTTTCCTCTCCCTCACTGCTTTTTTCATATTCTTTCAGGGAGTCAAAATACTCAGCTGCCATAGAGCTCTTATCTTTCCCAACCAGCTGCCAGTAACTCAGCAGTTCTGCAAAATGTCCCCTGTTTTAACAAGGAAAAGAATCTTATCTCTGATACCCCTCTATTCAGACCAATGCTAGCTTAGGGAAAAAGGCGTACATGCACAATCATTGTTGTTATGCTACAGCATCTACAAAGACAATCCATGGAGACTAACGCTATTCAAGACCAATATTTATTCCTTTACCACCCCCCAGGGTGTAACAGAATAGAAAAATACATTATTTATATGGAAACAGCATTTAGCACTTCAGCCTCTACTGTTTTAAGTATTTGAATCTGTCACTTTGTGATTTATATTGAAAAAAATAAATATGAAATGTTTATAATGGCCAAAGCAGCTTCTACCTTTGTACCTTTTGTAAAGGTTTTGGGACACAAAGAGATTCAAAAGACACTTGTGTAGCTTTTGCTTATCTCCCTGCTGTTGGAAGAGCCAGGGAAGTTCATCTGCACTTCTCCAAGTCACTCGGTCTTGACTATAGAAAGAAAAACAAATGAGAATTAAAACTCTGACAGGCCTAGCATCTTGTCAATTTGCTGTGAAAACCAGGCAAGTATACAATTTCCACACCTGAATGTCTGAACAGATTACTGTAAGACCCATGTACTCCATTTTCTTATATGTTCATTTTAATTTTACCTCAGAAGGCACTGGAACCCCCAGACACTCTACAGAAAGCTGCTTTTCCATCCCATATGGGCTAATCTATGCCTGCCAGCAGGACTGCAGCCCTGCAGCAGCCCATTGTCCCTTTGTGCCTCCTTTGTCTGGCACACTGTGGCCCTCTTGGCTTCATCCTACCCAACAGTGGATGCCTGGAGGAGCAATAAACAGCAGCCCACAGCTGGGACACTAACTCGGGATGTAAATGCAAATCCATTTTCAAGCTGGATATGAACATATAGATGTTCAGCTGTCCTACCAGATCTCCTCCTATCTATGTGCTCATTGCTTGCTGAACAAAAGTGGTTTTCTGCTTCAAGTCCCAAGCAAACTCAAATTTCCTAGCATTTACTGGGAGTTAAAAATCCATGGGGAGTTGGAGATGACAAAATAACTGATACTGTAGAAATTCATGCCCTGCATTTCCCCATGATCACTTTATCATATGCACATTCCCCTTCACAGACCTCATTCTTTTCCAAGACTAAAAAACAACATATCAATAAGTAAACTTTTAAGCTGACAATTTTGCATATTTATTTTGCCATAATCATTTACTAAACTCAAAGAAAGTATATGAAGAAACCAAAATATCTATGAGGCATGAAATCCTCAATTTAGCACTTCTTGAAGAATTCTGACCTACCTTAACTGCATGGTAAAATATTCCACTAGTTTTTGTCTATAGGCAGAAATAACATTTTCACCTGCTTCCATATACTCTAGTTTTACCATCTCCCAAGCCTGAAAGAGAGTATAATTAAAAGAAAGAGAATGCATTTAATTTGTTTAAGTGCTGATGATACACAGGGTGTTGAAACACATCTCATGTTGTAGGACTGAAAATCTTCCAATGACAAGGGCACTACAAACAAATTGTCTTACATTAGACCACAGCTCTGATTATTCAAGCAACATTCCTTTCTCTTTCAATTTTTCTTGGTTTTTTTGGGAAGCCAATGTTTTCTAGGATACATGGAGTTAACAATTAATAGATTTGAAATTTATCAAGGCTTGAAAGGTCAGATTTCCAGCAATACTGGTTTATCACAGTTCTGGTAGTTTTCAAGGTGTTTCTAAATCTAAGGAGAATGGATGAGCAAACATACGTTTCAAGGCCTAGGTGGCTAACAACAGAACTTATCTAAAAAAACAGGGGTTGGAGCTTCACTTGCACATGTTTAGAATTACAAATTTTACCTGGAGGTGTTGGAACTTCAGCAAACCACAGCCATATGTCAGCAGACACATTTTGTGCAGGCTATGAAGAAGTGAGGCCAGCACTACAGAAGTCAGCTCAGGATAAAGCTCCATCAGCTCTGACTCACTCACCCCATTGTGGCTGACACCAATGACACACAGTATCTGCATGAAGTAGAACACAAGATTTCACAGTTAGCAATATTCCCTGGAGAGCTTAGTTACACTGAAATCTCAAGAAAAATAAAATTACCACTGTGATAATTTTATAGCCAAAGGAAAAAACCCTGCCTATACAAGCCTTTTCCATCTTCTCAAAGAAGAGACCTCAGTGTTAATGGTTTAATATTCTGATAGATAAAGCACCAAATGGGACACTCTGGGACAAACAAATGGCTCCCCAGACTTTCCTCTAGAACACTGGGAAAGAGTAACTCCATTATCATGAGGAACTTTAATTTAAGTAAAATATGCTGAGGGTCTTCATGCAGCCAGAACCAAAGAAGTAGCAAGTAGGAGTATTGTGTCCTAATCAAAAACATGTTTTGCACAAGAGGGAAATTCTGCAAAGGTAGGAAGAGGAGTCAGAAATGTAATAAGCAAGTGTATTCCCAAGACACCATGTTTTGATTGTATTTACTATGCTCAACGTAATTAATCACTAGATCATGGTAGCGATCAGCAAGGAAGTGCTAATTGTGTAGTACATCATAGTGAAAAATCCTTGCTTTATTCTGTGAGACAACAGCTCAGCTGATATTTAACACAAAGCAGTCATACATTCTATAGTTATACAACAAATGTAGTTACATTAATTAAATTGTCCCTTCTATACTAATAATACACAATAATCTCTGAATCATACATATGAATTAATATAAATTTGTATTTACTTTTCAGTTAAGAAAAACACTTTACAGGGAAGAGTATTCATTACCTGTAGAAACAGTGATGCATTCTCTGCTTACCTCTCTCAAAAGATCTTTCTCTTTATCACTCTGCAATGATTCCTGAATTGATCTCAGAACAAGCCTGTACAGTGACACTGTGTCTTGACACTGGCAACACTGCTGAAGAATCTCATCAATATTTCCTGTTTTTCCAACACTGAGCAGAAGGACAAAAAGGGTAAAGTTTAGCATATTAAATTTGGCTGAGTAAGATTGATTTGAAACTACAGAAGAGTTCTATCTCAAATATTCTCTGGATTCCTACTGGGTTCAAAAGGTGCAAAGCACCGGGTGGGCGAGATTTAAACAAAGAAGAGGTGAGTTCTTCCAACCCAATTTCTGATTTCTGTCACATTGTCTGATTTTTCTAAATAGCTGCAACAGTTTTACTAAAAAAAACCTACTCTGCAGTGTTCTTTTCTCCAGCAGGAGTACAAGTAGGAACATCAGGATGGATAAAGATAAACTCACATGCTGCTATTTCATTTAATGCCTTTACATAGCATGTTTTCAGGAGCAATTAAGTCTTCTAGAACATAAAACGTGAACAAAAATAATGAAATCAGTCACCCGGAGTAAATTACCAATTAGTGTCTCATCTTCTGGGAGTCTCTTAACTAAAAATGCATCTTTCTCAACAAGATGAAGTCTAGGTTAATAAGAAGCCAATGTGCTTATTAGATATTCTCTTGCACAACAGGGAAGATTAATTTTCTCCACAGCAGGAATTACAAGGCTAAGGACCATATGCAGGAAGTTAAACTAAAGAGTTGTTGAACTTCCTTGTAGCCTTAAAAATCTATGGGGCAAACTCTCTGGTACATCAGTAAATACAACACACCTGAATTTAATTGTTTAATAACATGATACCAACGTTCTCCAAATACCTTTAAAAACCACTGAAGCAACTGATACACCCATAAAGAACAACAAATTAAAACAGAACTAGAAGAGCTGAAAACAAATAGATGAACTACTACTTGGAATCACTTAGTATCAAACTGGTGACTGTACACTCTCTGATTTCTGTTCCTGTTGCATTCAGAGTCAGTGGAGGGCAAAACTTCTCCATCGTTTTTTCCTAACAAGATTCCTTCTGTGTTACATGAAAGTATTTCAAAGGGCTAACCTACTTGAAGTCTTCTAATCTAGTGATGACCATAGTAATTTCCAAAACACCTCCACTTACCAAGCAATGGTTTTCCCCAAGAGAGTGACATACAAGGCATTGCAAGTTGTGGCGGAACGACAATGTCTTTCAAGCTTCTTCTCCTACAATATTTTAAATAATCATCTGTGAACTGAGATGAAACTAACCATACAAATAAAATGTTCACTGTTTGATAAGAATACAAAAGTTCTAGGTATTATTTTATGTGCAACATCTGAAGACTATAACATGGTAAGTAGTGCACAAAATACTGCACACATTTCCAGCTATGGGAGCATATGAGTGAAAAGTTCCATGAATTAAATTCCATTTGGATTTAAGATGAAGAGTTAGGGTCTAACATTGTATCTCAACATGAAGAGAATTACCTTACAGAATCAGTCTCAAGGGCAAAGGTAAAATACTGTTTTTCCCAATCTGTCAATGATTGTTACAGTATTATGCAAAAAAATTAATTAAAACATAATTAAACCTTCTGGTATTCTAAAATAAAAGATCACATTTACAGCAGTATGTGCAACTGCAGTTTTTGTGTTAAAAATTTATGTTGTTCCATCTTTGTATCAGTGCTATGAGCCATGGGATAAAAATACTCAAACTTCATACTATCTTGAGCAATCATATTTAGTTAGCTAAATATAATTCTTTATTCTGGCAGCTGGGCTTATTTAATCTTTCCATGCTTTCATTAAAAGTTATACTAGAGTAAGGTATTCTAGAAAAACTGCAACAGACATACCTGCTCTTTAGTCAATTTAACATTTGCAGAGTTACATTCTGCACTAATGAGAGATTTAACATCTTTGGAATTGAGGGGATCAAGATGAAGAGTAGGCCATAACCTTTGGTAAGAGAGAACAAAGTCATATTTGAACCTTATTAAATAGCACAAAAAAGTAAAAAAAAAAAAAATACATCAGAGTTCCAGGGCTTTTTAAAGATTTATATCAAAGCAGTAATTGAAGCTGTTCCCTGCTACTATGAAATTCTAGTCATCTGAAGTAGAATTTCCACTTTTAGCCTTATCCTGAATCTACATCATGGTACTGCAGTTCTTGATGTGTCTCTGACTGCATTTAATATCATCTTTCATACAGTCATGTGGATAGATCCATCACAATAAAACAAAAATCTGGTTTTCCAACAGCTAAAATCTGTCATTGCAGCTAAAATAGAGAAGCTTTTATTTTCCTCATAGGTTGCAAAATCTTATCCTATTAAATCTCCACATCTTGACAAATCTGTCTGCTCTTCAATGAGTAACTGCAATTTAAAATAATAATTCTAAGCCAGGATACTTTGACACATCACAGAAATATAACATACCTCCACGCCTGTGGACACGTTTCTACATTCACTGATACAATCACTCTCACGTTCACTGGCAGTGGATCTATCAACCACTTCATATGCTTCTCAGCTTGCTTAAAAACAAATTTTCATTTCTTAACACAGAGGTTCTTCAAAACAATATCAGAAGTTGCTATGTTTTATTAACTGTGCAACCCAATGAAAGAAGTCTTAAATTCTCCAGTGTCCTTTAAAATCTTTCATGATCTGGTCCTCTAGACAGTACTAAATGACCCACTTATATATATTAGCACAACTGTGCACTAAATAAAGAAGATAGAATACTACTGTTGAAATGTTCACCTCATAAAAACCAGGCTATTTACATGCCCAATAAGTCAGCTCACAGCCTTGAATCTTTGGATAAGCAATGTAACCAGACTGCTCAAAAATTAAGGTATAAAGATAAAATTTAGAAGAAAAATACCAAAAAACCCTAAAAAATTTATCTACAAAAATAACTCAACTGCACTTTTTACAAAACTATTTTCTATGTTTTCTTCAGAGCAAAACAAACACTAATATTTTTGTTACATAGTTATGACTGAACCTATTACAATAGTCAAGATTCCTGTTAGACTGACAAATGGCAAAGATTTTGAAAACATACCTGTATTTGGTCAATAGAGTCTATAATTATAATAATGCTGCCTTGATGGCGTGCAGAAAGCTTTTCCAGCCAACGGGGAAACTCTTCCAGAAGTTTAGCTGGATCGAAAGTCAGAGGTGATACTAACCAAGAGTGCTGCATAAGCTGCAGAATTATAAACATGTACAAGAAATTCTGAAATTCTACCTTAAAAATCAGCTAGGATAGTTGAAAGAAATCCTATAGACACAAAAGGGAAAAAAAAAGCAGTTCTCCCCGCCAACCTCACTATCCCCTCCCAAAAAAACCTCCATGTGATTTGGAGGCAATTTTTCTAGTCAAGTTCACACAGAATTCTTTCCTGCTAGTATATGCAGGAAGCTGGCATATGCAGAACAAAGATTATTTCTTGAACTCAGTGTGTAAATTCTAGAGAGATAACCTTTACACAACAGACAAGAAATACGGAGACTTAAAGGACTTGAAGTTGCACAAATTAAACAGGCAAACATCTAAGATAGATGAGAAAATTGCAAGGATAGCACAACTGAATAAATTTTTCTACAGGTTTTACTACTGCAAGGCCCTTAGTGCCACTCTTGTGATCAAAAAAGCAAGTTCAGACCCTAGCACAAAAATGATCCTTCTTATTCCCCATGTATTTAGCACACAATTAAAAATGAATTAATATAGGAGAGAGACTAGTCTGGAACAAGATGGTACCAAGTGGCCAACACAGCCTTAGACACAAGATGTACCACCTGCCTCTCTCATTGGTCAGATGGCAGGGAATTTTGGAAGGAGTTTATATGCTTTTATAAGTCATCAGTATAGGTCACTGGAAACATAACTGCTAATGCTGATCTATTATGAATATCCCAGAGAAGCTATTTAATTGAGCTACATTAAGTTCATAGGATCAGATTCCCTTCATCCTGTAATGCCTTACATTTCACAGAGTCACAGAAGAGTTTGGATTGGAAGGAGCTTTAAAAGGCCACCTAGTCAAACCTCCTGAAATGAGCAGGGGCATCTTCAACCAGACCAGGTTGCCCAGAGCCCTGACTGATCTGAACCTGAATATTTTTTTACTACATTTGTATTACTTTTCACTGATGTTGAAACTTTTGTAGAAATTATCTTTGCACACACACGCACACAGAGAAAAATGCAATGCAGGGCATGTAATGCAGCATTACCTTCAGAGTAAGGCGCTTAATTATCAGTGCAGATTCTGAACTAGTAGACAAGGGCCTCCCAACAAAGTGGTAAAGAATTAGTGTGTTTGGTGAATGCTTCTGCTGTAATTGAATCCTAATGAAAGAAGAGAGAAAAAAAGACTCAACAGACTGTAATTTTGCAAATAGATCTCAAACAAAAGGCACTAGTTTTGCCAAAGGAGACAGAGTAGCTTAGCTACACGTGTTCCATGTTTATGTTACAAAACAGCATAGACATTTCCTGAGCTACAACTGAACTTCTAATGTCAGATTCCATTTTTACTCTCACCATTACTGATAGCAATTAGCAAGTGCCCTTCCTGGCACTGAATAGTCATGCGCCACTAAGCTTTCAAAAAGCAATGGCACCATCAGTTTATTTTTATGACAGCAAATTTTGTCCTGGCATACAAGTGACCATAAAATACTATGGTCTATGATAAATGATGAGGATTCTTTCTTTATTTCAGACCCTTCTTGTGGGCAACACTACTGAGCTATCAAAACCACATCTTAATGCTGTGCAAAGACAGATATGTAAGTGATGCCTTACCATAACTTGTTGCAAATGGCATCAGGGAGCTGTCAAAGGCAGTCCAGATGAAATTAGCTACTCAAATATCACAAATCTTTCCAGGATGTTTCAATAATGTCAGCACTTTGTAAATGTCCCCATTTTATCTCTCATTACTGACACAATGTTTGAAATGGAAACTTTTTTCTTAAATTTCGTGCATATAAAAAAAAAAAATTAACTACCATTTAGACAGAAGAAGAGATTTCCCAGAGCCTGGTCCTCCTGATACAAGCAATGGTGGAATTGGTGCTGGTGCTGCTACTAGGTCATTCAGACGTTCAAAATACTATAAAAAAGAAGCAGTCATTATAAATAGTCCAGTGTTTAAGGAAGAAATATAGAGCCTGGTATTGTAAACCATGTCAACTCAAAATGCATGTACCAATTTATTAAGGTAAAGGAGAAACTGCTGAAATACAATAAAATACAAGTGTAAATAGATGTTGCAAGGAAACAATTAAACCATAGAATTCATTATCTCTTTTCTAAACAGTGTAAAATTAATTAACACTTTCTTCAAAACTCTATTTAAAATGGAATCTTCAGTGCTAATAAATGGAATTAGTGTTATTACAGTAAAGCAACAGTGTTCTTTTTTTGTTCAGGCTTCCTTGCCTTTCCCTTCCCCAAACTACTTCACTGCACTGGATATGGCTGCCAGGAAAAAGTTGGCATCTGTCATGAATGACTATTTTGAGCATACAAAAACATACAAAAGAAGGCTTTCTTACAGCATATGAATGTCTAAAACTATTGCAGCAGATGACAAAACAAACCAAAGCAAAACACCCTTCACCTGCTGGGGAGAAATATTTTGTCTTCAAAGTAAGAGGTGCCTTTAGATATACATTGGTATTTTTTCTTTAATGTTCTATTATTCTATTGCTCTAGAACGTAGTAAAGATGGTACAACCCTCCAAACCATTATCCGTATAGGACTGGTGAAGTAAAAGAATATATTGTGCTAATAAAACAGGGGTACTAAGAATTTAAATGCAGTAACACAAGATGCATGCTTATGCTACATTGCCAAAATAAACTACTGCACCGCATTCTGTGATGACTTTAATGTTTATCTTCCTACATTCATTATATCTTCCCAACATATTCCTGACACTCACAACTTGAAAAGTTTTAAAAAATTATTTCCAGTAATGAGTAAGTACTGAGGTATTCAGCAGCTTTCCACTATAAAGTTTCCTTTGTTCTTCTTTTATGGCTGCATGATGAGATGAAATCTTTTCATTAACCATCTCCTAAAGACCTAACTCCAGGTGTCAAGAAAGAGATTGGATTTCCTCAGGGAAAAAATAAAAAAGAAATTTAAAAAATAGAAGAAAAAATAGGTACTCAGACTGTTTTCTATTGATGACCAACATCTAAGAGGACGCTCTGCTTCTGGGACACTGTTATAGTGCTTTTCTCCAGTAAAGGCACAACAACTACTTCTTCATCAATGTCACTCAACAACACATCAACTGGCATCTTCCCAGAAAATAAATATGCCATCTATATCAGACATATGGCTTCTTCCAGCATAAGGAGTGATAGCCTTAAGGATGCTCTCAGACACAGCTGCTTCTGTAGAAATGCATTTTGCCCAACAAGGGATGAAACTGAGTGATGACTTTCACTTGATCCATATACCTTTATAATGTACTCACTTTCTCAAATCCCAGCTCACATGTTGAATTAGAGGCCTGCTGAAAAGCTTCCATCTGTTCTTGTTCATCATGTGCATCCCACAATACATCACCAAAAACTTCTTCTTCAGGAGCAGAGGAGTCTTCCTTATTACCCAAATCCTTGCCTTCTAGGTCTGTCATTTCACACCCCAGTATATCCTAAGTAAAAAGAAATTACATGGAGAAAACTGCAACTGTAGTGCAAGCACATATGCTCTTAGTCTCAGTATAAGTGTGGCTCTACTAACACCTATATGCACATTTCCTTGCAGGGTAGCAAAGAACTAAGCAATAAATAAATGAGCAATTATATGAAACTAAGTTAACTCTTAGGTCTCAAGACATTGATTTTAAATACCTCATAGTAGAAACAACTCACCACAAGAATAAGGAGAGGACGTATCTATGATATGGATAAAGACAAGTAAAAGCTAATTTTGGCCCATAAATAGAACCCTGTCCCATGGTCCAGTGCTTCTGTCCATAAAAGCACCGCTCAGTTTGGGGTTTTATTTTCCACCTGCATGTTTCCTTGTTTGCCAGATATTAACAATAAAGCAAAGAGATACTTTGAATCACACTTAAGTACCACATAGTAATCACACTGACATAATTTAAGATCATAAATCAACATAGACGTAAAAAGCTAAAATGCATGATGTACTTTACCTGTTTAATTATTTTTTCCACACAATTATAGATTTCATATGCTCCTTCCTCCATACCTCCAACATGGTCAATCACCTGAAAAAGTAAATGGAAAAGCATGATACAACTCTGAATCCAACTGAGGACAATATTTAGGACTTCCAACAAAACCATTCTGGAACACATTTAAATTCCATTCTGTTGTCTTCCTTAGGTAAGATTCACTTTGCCTAAGAACTTTAAAAGTTGGGCATCTAGTTTCAGCTGTTCTCAACCATTGTCTCTGTAGAGGAAAATAGATCATAACTGATCGATTTTTAGGCAGCAGGATTCTTTCTAGAGGTATACTTCACTCCCTTCAGTGGGACCTCAGACAAACAACTTTGCCATTTGAATGCCTACATACAGGTAAGAAATTCTAACCTTACAGCATAGCCATTTTTTTTCAGTGAAAATAGGGTGGCTTTTTTTTCTCCCCTGCTAATGAAAATTTCGTAACATTCATAAATTTCAGCCTCATCGATCTGCTCACAGAATGAGCAGCCAGAGCAATGAGTGCAATGCAATTTCTTCTAAAATCTGGGACTATTAGCATGCAGTGTTGATAACAGCAATTTTTAAAAGCCATACCTTTGCTTTGTTCATGCAAGAAATTTGCTCAATTAACTGCTGCACTGAGACTGAACTGACTTTGCCATCCTCCCTTCTGTGGTAAATTAACCGAGGTTTTTCTTCCGGATTTCTCAAGAAGGCTTCTTCACAGTCCTCCAACAAACAACTAGATTGGAAATCAGCATTCTTGTGCTATATTACAGTGCTGTAGTAAACAGTTCAATCAACACAAGCTCCGAAGATGGGTTTCACTGCAAAATCTAATTCAAAAGTCATATCTATTTATAGCAAAAAGCAATCAAATACTTCAGCAGAGAATTTTAGAAAAATTCTGAAGCAAGAAAAAGCTAAGAGAGAGATTTATGCTACTTGTACCAAAACCAGTAAAACCATGTATTAATTTTTATAATTATTGATTTGTAAATTTAAAGCTGTTTTTCCTGTCATAGCAATATGCAGAGTGAAAGCTAATTGCCTTGCATGGAAAGAACATGGTTTCACATACGATTAATAAGCATTAATATGCTTTGCTATCAGTTATCTGAGGGTTCTGTTCTATCTTTGATCTTTTTAGGAAGTGTCCTTTAGTATTTGTCAGATGTCTTGGGTGACAGTCTTTCAATTTGTAGTGTTTAAAAAGGAGAATTTGACACCTTGAAATTCAAAAGCACTTTGCATTTATATATGTGAATGATATCCATGGATATCTATTGCTGTTCCAGAGAAGGAACTATACTTCCTGGGGATGCTGACAATAGCAGACAGGATTGCTCAAATATTACCATGCTTACACAAGCACTGAAATTTTCATCAGAGTTTTTCTAAGACAAATTCTCTAAATTAATACTTTTGGGTTTTTTTTTTCCTGAATATTTTGTTCTTACACATTTTTGTTCCGCATACATAAAACTGGGTTATTTGGCAACAGCATATAATGCATAACAGTAACATTCCTAACAGAATTCAAAAGTATCCCTCCTTTAGTGTATTTTTTTAGTGAATCATGCTTCTTTTTCTAGAAGGTTAAGAAATTACTCACTGAATAAACAGACCACATTCCATCACTATTTGTCATGAAACATCATGACTTCACTAAATCAATGCTGTCAAAAGATAGCATACGGTAACACACAGGAGAGCCATGAAATTAGTCTGAAAGACAGACAAAACCAGGAACTAATACGTGATAAAATAAATGCCAAATACTATGGACAGGTGTAAGGCTAGATAAGCAAATGAAGAATACTGAGGACATTCACATCAGCCATCTTTAATTCTGAAGACATAGCCACATGCACAACAGAGAGCTGCTCTTGGAAAGTAAAACATTTCTGTATGTTACTAAGACATTGTTTAAGCTGTATTTTAAGAGAATTTGTAGCTAAAAGAAAAAGAAAATGGTACAAAGCTGATATATTCTTTTAAGTGTCTGCACTAGCAAACCTAAAGTCTGAAGGAGTATCACTTTGAAGTTACTGGCTTAGGAAATATACTGAGCAAAGCATCCCATACATTTTAATAAGATATGCACTCTGCATAAATTACCAGTTGCCATTTGTTTCACCAGCCCGGAAAATACTCACCTTGGCAAAGTTAAATGCAGGAGCAAAATTACTAATGAACTTTTTTCAATTTCCCATTTTCTTACATTCTGAAGAGGCCTTTCATTCTCTGTTGAAAAATTAACAACTTGAAAGAAGTACCCCATTGTTTCACAGACTCTCTGAAGTTTTGGGGAGTAGTTCTGAAAGCAAATGTGAGCAACAGTACTTTATTACTAACCATGCATAGCACTAAGGATCTACCAAACAAATCTCAGGGTTTTTTATCTGAGCAGTTTGTTCCCCTGAAGCCATTGACAATACTTTCACTGATTTCACTGAAATCAGACTACTCTTACTAAAGCTTTCAAGAAGCATTAGACAAATTTCTGAACCAGATTCACACTGGAAACAAGACAGCACATAAGTGAGCACAGGTTTGTGGGTACTCACTCTAATGAAGATGGTCACTTCTGGCTGAGTCTCATCAGTACTGATAATATAACATCTCACTGTGTTACTCCACAGAGAGTGGGAAAACAGAGGAGTAACCTGCAATAAACTGGCAACAGCAGCATCCCAATCATCTGCCAATGGAAAAAAACCCCAAAATGAAATCTTAGACATCACGTGTCATCACACTGCATAACAGTTAAGTCATCATCTCTTAGCATCATGAATACTACATTTTATTTAAAATAGTAGTAGTGTTTTTACTGAATTATTTAAATTTTATAAATTTTGAGAACTCACACCATTTGATGTCACACAATTTGATAATGTGGCAAAATAAAAGTGTTAAACATATTTATATTATCATCATGATATTTCCTTTAAAAAGGATTGATGAAATGTTTGCACAAAATCAAGCTGATAGTCGTAAAAGAAGTACTAATATTTTGGAGTAATAAATTCAGTCATAGCCAAACACTTTTTTCCGTTCAGATCGACATGTATTTCAATTAGACCATGTGAATAAATGACAGCAAAACACTGTGGGAACCTCCTCTTCTGGAGAAAAAAAAAAAAATCCATTGCTTTCTGTAGCATTGTATGTTTATTCCCTACAGAAGCAATGAGTTTTAAAACTTTGATTCTTCATTTTGTGGCTGGCCATTCTTTCAAGGTAGGAATAAGTTCTCTTCTCAGGACCACATAGGTTGATGAAAGGCTCAGTGTATGAAGCTGGAGCCATCACAGAGAAGGCCCACCCCTCCCACTTTGCAGGCACAGATTTCTGATTTAGACAGAGCCTGAATGATTGAACTAAAAAGGGAGAAACTGCCAGCAAAGTCAACTATATGCAGGTGAGGTTCCAGAGCCAGGACAACAGTGAAGGAAACCAGAGTACCAGAAGCCAATTTAAAAGAGGCCACTTGTGAAACAAAGTTCAAAAGCAGTAACTATTGACAAGAAAATATCAAGCACTGATTTACATAACAACCATGCATCCTGGTCTTACAATCAGATTTCTGTATGTGGCCTCCTAGGCAGAGTCAAAATCCATGCAAAATCAATGAACAAAACAGGGGTATAATTTATTCTAATACAAACGTGATGCTCTTACTCAGGAAGTAGAGAATCTGAATACAAATGGAAAAAAGAACACCAGCAGATATTGAAAGAAGGAGCCACTATCTTCCACTGTCAACATAAGGAATATACTCACAACAGAGCACTGGTAATTGCTGTTTGGTAAAATCACTGCTGCACATACCACAGTTATCACATATATTAAACATAACTTAGCTACATTTCCTTTTATTTTTACAAAGAATTCCAAATAGTTTAGTTAAATTACCCAAGAGTGGACAGAAAAGGACCTAAGAAGGAACACAATTACTTTAGCATAGTTGAAAAAATTCCATAGACACCTACAATCCCAACAAAATGAATTACCATTACTTACCTCTGTTTATATTTGCAAATGGCCCCTCGACATCTATGGAGCTATGTGCAAATTCAGGCCCTCTGAAAGACTGCTGAAGTTGCATCATACTACCCATGGATGGCTCACTTCCCAACACTCCTCCATTCCAGTATTCAGATTGTGCCCCAGCAGCTAAGAATTGGAAAACAAAAAAAAACAAAACCTCTTCTTTGTCACTACACAAGGTAAATTGTCAGTCCTAAATACTCCAGCCACATGCTACTGACCGTATTTTTTTTCCTTCAGCAGATTTCCTCACACCTTTATGTGCTGTAGTTCTAAATGGCTGCTTGTCCAAAATTAACGAGAATCCATGACACCAAAGGCTGAGGGTATTTCCTAATATTTGCTATTACATAGATTGCTCACATACCCATCGGAGCCCTTTCCATGTTAGTAAATTCCTCATACAGCATATACAAGGTTTTGTACCTACATTTTCTTTGTTAAAGATCTAGCTCTGCTGTTCTGGAACACACAGCAGCTAACACTGGCATATGTCATCATCCAAAGTGTCTAAGACACCCTCTAGTTTCTGGTGTGATTTTTGGATATGCTGGAGCATCATCTCTCAGATACAGAATAAGAGAACACAGAAAAGACTAGAAAACCCGGAACAGCTAATGAAACAACTTTTAAAAAGTGTTCAAGTAACTGTGTCTAGACAGTACTCTGTCTTCATTTATTCATTTGTAACACCAGAAATGTGAGGTTCCCACAATCTAAACCAAGTTTGGAAGATTTGTTGCTTTTACCCTTCAAACTACTTTAAGTTGCTTTTCATCTGGATTAATAAAACTTTTTTTTGAAAACAACAAAAATATTTGTCTTCTGCTTTACTACTTGGAGACTTCAGTCAGGGTCCAACACAAAGTGTTGGGAATGAAATTCTCACCTGTAACATCTGTACAATTATCATCAGAATCAGACTCTTCAGGATCAAACACTTGGATTCCCTGGGCCTGCAGTCTCTGGAGTTTTGCTTCTAGCTCTCGTTTGGCCCTCAGTAAATCCTGAATCTCATTTTCTTTAGTTTCTCTAAAAATCTATCAGCAGGAAGGAAAAAATATCAGTACCTATTCCTGAGATCATGTTATCTACTTTCAATAGCAAAAGTAAGTTTTTAGCATTCATTTACCAGGCAAAGGCGTGAAAATGTGAATCTGAAGCCATCATGAATCAGAAATTAGCAGGAAACCATAGTTTACAACTATCTATTTTTAAAATTTTACCATTATAAACCTTAGCATACCATTCTGAAAGAAGCCTGCATTAACATTTTCATTAAAAATTAAAACAACTATTTTTACTTTTTAAACTTTATTGTCTTCTGAAATTGCTACATGTAACAATTCTTTCTAAGGTTCCCTTTTATTCTTCCATGTATTTATTTACAATTACATATGGTCTTGTATTTACATTTTATTGTTGCAGAAATTTAAATTTCCTCTGACAGAAAATTGATCAAGCATGTGCAGCTATCCTGTCTGTAACTCATTACCATTATGTGGGAAAGAAAACATGAATCTAGTTTTAAATTAAAAGAAATGAAGTAGTCTTCAAGTCTCATTTTCTTAAATAAGGTCAGAACCAATCCTCTTTTTATATATCTGACAACCATGAACAACATGTAGCTACAGACAACTAAAATTAAAGACATGAAGAATCTTGAAACTAGTGAAAAACTAGGACCTACTGCCCTGTTTTGGGTGGCAAAAGTATCATCTGCAGCAAAGGAAAAGCAGAAACATCTGTCTGGCCTTTCAAGTCATCCCTGCAAGCTGTCTCTATCATATTTTTGCAGCCAAAAAAGATGCACCAATACACAGTTTTTAAAAAAATGTAAGCTAGAGGTGTTACACCTTACAATTCAAGATATAAAATTTATTCAGAAAGAATGGAACTTTGTGTTTATACATTCATTAGGCATGTGTCAATCTGCAGCTCATGTCTTCTTGTCACTCTCAAATATGAATATACTCCTGAGTTCAAATTCAATGCAGGAATTTAGTTTATGATGTATCACTTCATATTCTCCTTTTAATAATTATAAAGTTATTTCATATTTTTTTTCCTCTTAGTCTTACAGAGAGGTTTCTGTAGGATTACTTTCATGGAAAGGGGCAGCTACAGCTATAATACTCTAAGGTGTCTTTAAGAAGGAGAAGCTTGAATGAAAGCTGTTGGAGAATGGTTAATTTGGGGAATGTGAACAAGTGACATTCATCTTTTTTGGTCGTTTTCCCAGCAACAGAAAAGTCAAACCATACCTTGAATTGCCTTTTGACCTTGTCTCGATCATGTTCAAAAGTAGCAGCTCTCTCCATGGCTTGGTATTTAGCTTCCAATGCACTTTCTTTCTCTCTAAGTATTTTCTGGTATGTTTTCTGAAGTGCCTGAAAACATTTAGTATTTCATTTTTTTAATTGCCCATAAGAGGTTTTAGATTACTTTTCAGGTCTGACTACAGTATTATCTCAGCACCCTACATCTCTCCTTACTGTAGAATCAGAGAATATCCTGAGTTGCAAGGGAACCACGAGGACCATCGAGTCCAGCGGCTAGTCCTGCACAGGACACTTACTCCAAGTCACACCACGTCCCGACAGCATTGTCCAAACACTTCTTGAACTCTGTCAGGCTTGTGCTGTGACTTCTTCCCTGGGGAGCCTTTTCCAGTGCCCAACACCCTCTGAGTGAGGAACCTTTTTTAATATCCTGCCCAAGCCTCCCCTGGCACAATTCCAGGCCGTTCCCTGTCTCTGGTCGCCACAGCCGCGCAGGGCGCGGTGCCCATCCCCAGACGCGCACTTTGACGGCATCCCGACTGCTCAGCAGGAGAGCACCGGGGCACCGCTTCCCCAGTACCTTGCCTTCCCTCGCACCCATCACCTTCCTGCCACAGCTTTCCCCAGGAAGCGGGACGAGTCCTTGGCAGCCTCAGCATCGCTGCTCAGTGCCCTCACCCGCGGGGCAGCGGGCGCTACCTGCAGCTCGGCGCGCAGCCGCTTGTTCTCCCTGTCCAGCTTGGCCTCCTTCTTCACCATGGAGGCCACCTCGTTGTTCTTGCTGACGCGGAAGATCTCGTACTCCTTCCTCAGGCGCTCGTACTCGGCCACGCACTCCAGCTCCTGCACCGAGGCCGTCGACTTGAAGCTGGCCCCGATGAGGCCGCCGGGCCGGGAGCCGCCGACGCGCCGCAGGGACCCGCGCAGCAGCCGCGCCTTGGGCTTCACCTCCACCGGGATCTCGCAGGCCTCGCCGCCGCCGCCGCCGTACGTGTCCTCGATCACCTCCCCGACCGCGCCCGCCGGGCTCACCAGGGACGACGCCGTGCCCATGGCCCCGCGCCCCCCGGGGCGAGGCTCTAACCCCGAGCCCAGGGCCCGGTGCCCCCGGGGGGACCTGGCGGCGGGGCCGTGCCCGGCGCGGAGCCTTCCCCGCGGCGGCTGCGGGCCATGGTCCGCTCCTTGCGGCCGCCGGACGAGGAAGGGAGAGCGGGAGGAAGCTGCCCCGCGGGCCGCCTCTCTCCCTCCCTCTCTCTGCCGCTCCCGCCCCGTCCCGTCCCGTCCCGCGGCGGCTCCCGGCTCGGGAGGAGGAGCGCCGGCCGCCGCTACAGCTGGGGAAAAGCCGGGAGGGAGAGCCGAGGGGCTGGCGGCGAGAATCTGCTGGTCTCAGCTAAAAGTGACGGCGTTTTAGGGTTTTGCTGCTAAAAACGAGCTAATGTGAGGTCGCGGCAAACTTTCCCATTCCCGCTTTCTCCATCTCAGCCTGACCGGGGATGCTTTATCAAAAAGAAAAAAAAAAAAAGTGCCCATTTTCTCTTCGCCGCGTCTATTTCTCCTCAAGTGTCCATTTCTACTCTCTCTGCCACCTGAACCGGAGCCCTCAGGTTGTGCCGCATCGCTGGCTGGTCTACACGATTATATCGCACTGTTCTCCTTGGCCAAACAGGGACACGCAGGTTGTGCCACCAGCTTTGGTGTTGAGGAGACCTTGGAGAGGGAATTACCCCTCACTGGTCAGAAGTTGTGACCTCTGAGACCAGCTGGCACTCTCCAGGAAGAACTGAGAAGAGCTGCTAGTGGCACCAGCAAGAAGTGAGCGCTGGGCAATGGTGCCATGTCGTGCCCGAGGTCAGTGCTTGCACCTTGTGCACCTCATATGAAATTGGTGAATTCCCTGTTCGAAGATCTTCCCTGCCAAGAACAAGGAAGCTGTGGATTATCAGCCCTGTAAATTATCCTAATGACATTTCCTTCTCTGTCTCTCAAAGAAACTCTGTTTGGTTCCTTCACCTGTCATAGGGAATTCAGTGTAACACATCCCCATAGCTGAGGAGAACATCCATTTGTTCCCAAATCCCAGAACCTGCCCTACCTTTGGCATGAATGACAAAAATGTCACTACTTCAAAACAGATTTTGCCTCATGTATGTGACAGGTTTGTTAGCCATGACCAAGGGAGCCATTTCCTCTTAACAATGAGGAAAAAAATAGTCTTAGAGGTGCCTTTCCAATGAGACAATCCTGAGTTTCAAAATCTTCTGGAGCGGGAAATTACTTTTGTGTACAGTAGTAGAAATAGAACAAAAAATGTTGCTTTATTTCCCTGAGTAAAAACTTTGGGTTTGGAGAATGTGCATTTTCCCCCTCCTAATTGTACCCCATTATTTTCATGAGGAAAAACAATCTCATTGTCTGAATATAATTTAAGGATAAGTCACATTGGGGATGTATTCCACTTAAACCCCGCTTCACTAAAAGAGACATACAAAATATGTGACAATTGAGGGAAGAGGAAGGGTGCAGCTATGTTTTCTCTAATATTGACAGTAACATAGCTTGCACAGTATTAGGTGATTCAGCAAGTCTGCAGTTCTGTAACAAAGCAAAGCTCTTGGTTTCATTTGTGTGTTGGTATCAGGCAGTTTCTCCACTTCACTGCTGTCTGAGCTCTGGGAACAATTGAAAATACATTCATGCTGGTGCTTGAGCTGAATTATTTTCATATTCTGAGTTTTTGAGTATCAAAATCTGCAAGCTTTAAGAATTAGAATAAAAAGTGTGGTATTGTAAGAGCTCTTGGATTCCTTCTAATAATCCACTTGACATTAACAAATAGATTGGAAGAACTGTAAATGCTGTTTCTCTAATGCTGCCCCTGGGTGCATTATGGAATTTTCATGGATAATAAAGATCATATTAACACAACCCTTTCTAAACAGAAAAATTACACTGCTTCCCTATTGCTTCATGAATTGGTTTTCCTAATGTTTAGAGATTAGAAAAGCTTACTTCAATATCTAATTTGTAAACTAACAAAGTTTGTTTTAAATCACTGATTAGGACTATTCAGAAAGCAATCCAACTATTCATTGCACAAATATTGGAAACAGTGTCTGAAGATGAGCTGTCTTAGCTTTCAGAAATTAATTGCCCCACAAAATCCTTTGCTGGAGAAAACACCTTATCAAGTTCTTTTAAAATTCCAGCTCATGTTATGCTACTTTTTAAAGTGTCAATTGGACCAGCCCAATCCTTAGTCCTTTGAGGATATTGATGCTGGGTGTATTGTGTCATAAAGTTCTTCACTGGTCAGTGAAGATATTTGGGGTAATTGAGAAGATTCCGATTTACCATTTCCATTATTTACATAATTTAGACAGTTTATGAAAACATTCGTTATTATTGAAACATGATATTCCATTATTATTAAAACATGAAATGTGCTGGGTTAACTTCGGCCAGCTTTTATGACTACATGATGTATTGTTGATGTTTTTTACTCCTGACTTAATTTCATTTTAGGAGTTGTTGGTGACTGTTGACAAGCAAGTTCTATGGATCTAAGGATCTGTCCCATAAAGAAAAGTACAACTGCAGGAATTAGACCTTTGCAAGAAGGTTTGGTTTTATATGTGTATTATTAAGTTCAGCTCCGAGTTAGCAGATGTTCATTTTATAAAATAATGTATATGATACCTATTCATTCAGTAAAATTTAGTGTACAAGGTCAAGATATGACAAGATAAGGGGAAGATTAGGAAGGCTGAAGATGGTAAATTGTCACAGATTGATTAACCAGTAAAAATGAGAGTTGCTTTGGTTAGAAAGAATGGTGATCGTGACCTGAAAACAGAAGGTGCTTTAAAGGAAAGACAAATGACCAAACTTCTGCTCAACGTCCTTTCTGTTAACTCAGAGGCTGGACTGACTTTTAAGGCTGTATACTACAGGCATAAGCAAAGTGTGTTAAAAATCCTTCACAAGTCAATATTAAAATGTTTTTGCCTACACTGATTGGAGTTGAAAATATTTCAATATCTCATTCATTCTTCAAAAATGTCTGTGTCTGATGGAACATGATAAGGGAATTCTAGTGAGGACATAGAGTTAAAATATGTAGAATGTAATTAAAATGTTGTTGTTGTCCTGGATTATACAGGCTTTTTACAAGGGCATGGAGTGATAGTACATGGGATAATAACTTTAAACTAAAAGAGGGTATATTTAGATAAGACACTACAAAATATCTCCCTTTACTGTGAGGGTGGTGAGGCACTGAAAGAAGTTGCCCAGAGAAGTTGTGGATGGCCCATCCCTGGCGGTGTTCAAGGCCAAGATGGATGGGTCTTTGAGCAACAAGATCTAATGGAAGGTGTCCCTGCCCATGGCAGGGGTGTTGGAATTAGGTAATTTTTAAGGTTCCTTCCAACATAAACCCTTTCATGAGTCTATGGTTCTATGGTATAAGCTCTAAAAGGACACTTGCTATTGTGCTGCTCTTTATTAACTTGTTGTCTTTCCCCAGTACTGCACATTGAGCACAGAGTGCAAGTCTGAATAAGCCAAATGTCTGATGTACTTACTCAACTTCTTTGTTTTATATAAGGAGGCCTGATGATTTTCAACTGAGAAGATCTCTTTTGAATCTGGTACACTAGTTGTTCCATAAAAGCCTGAAGCTGCCCAATCTTAGAATTATTTTATTGTTTTTTGCCCTGTTGTGACATCTGCATTTTGTTCATCTGCATGAAAGACATCTGGACATCTGCCTCTGTCCTCCTTGGAGACCTTCATGCTAAGTATCTGCAGTTCCACTATTTACCAGCCACTTTGGCTGAGATGTAGAGTTCTGGAGCCGTGTGCAGCTCAGCTGGTGGCTGCTGGATGGTGGAGAGGTATATGTCTTCTTCCCTTTTTCATGTGTCACAGCATGGCTGAGACTATGTCCATCGTTATGACTGGCTTACACCTTGCAGTCTTTCTGTGACCCGACATGAAATTGCATAACTGGGATTTGAGTCATTTGAGATGTTGTGAGTATAGAAGACAGGGTTACGAAGAAATTGAGAGCAGTTCATCATTAACTCAACAAGTTAGAAATTAACATTCATAAGCAAAGCTTTGTCATAACCTTTTTTCGAAGTGACATGAAATTGCATAACTCAATTGGAAATTGCATAACTCATTGGATTTGAGTCATTTGAGATGTTGTGAGTATAGAAGACAGGGTTACGAAGAAATTGAGAGCAGTTCATCATTAACTCAACAAGTTAGAAATTAACATTCATAAGCAAAGCTTTGTCATAACCTTTTTTCGAAGTAGTACTGTACAATTGAAGTCTGAAGAAATGTGCTGAAAATCCCATCTAAAGTCTTAAGATAATTTATTTCAATAGGCATGTTTATAAGAGTCTCTAATCCATCTGCTTTTTCTTTTCAAACCAAAAGTAATTAAACGTACCTGTGGTTAATTGTAGACTGCTTAACAAATTCAACCTTGGGGCATAGTTCTAAGTTCAAATAGCTACTGAACTTGCTATGTTTCACTCAGTAACTTTTTTACAGTCTGGCAAGTTGAAATCATCAGCTTCTTTCAAGAATCCGTTTACTGGGAGGCCTGAAAGTTACCTGGAGCAGAGATGATGAAAATAATGAAGGAGAGGACATCTGCTTTCAAATGCTCCCACGACTTTACAAGTCATAGCCCTTTGCCACTAGAGGACAGCAAGACCTCAGGAAAATGGGGTTGTGTGAGGAGGTGAGAGAAAAGGAGAGAAATTGCTTACACAAGAGTTAAGAAAGCCTTAGTTCAGAAGTTACATGCTTCTAAGTATAATCAATCTTGTTAAAGGTTTGAGTCCATTTTGGAAGATATTTCAAGACAAAATATGGAGGAGGCAGATAAAAGCTGAAGTTTTAATGTAGTGCTTTGTCTATCAGTTATATATAATGTTATTTGAAAAGTACAATACTAATTAACTTTGAGAGCTGTATGCTGTTTCCATTTAATTAATATATAGTTTTTTATTGATTTCAGCCAGAATAGAGCTTTGCTTTGAAATCTTAAATAACCTGTAGGTGTTCTGATTTTTGATGAATAAATTAGATACCCTTATGTAGAAAGGTTCTTATAGCCTGTTATTTAGAATGAAAATAATAGACTGAACACACTGAAAAGGAATCTTCTGTCTCTACACTTATTAATCATATTTATGTCTGTGACTTCTAATGTAAAGAC